CCCTAGCCTTGACTGAAAAATGGCTCACAGCTATTACTTTCTCAAAATATCTGGTGCATGTGCAAAATACTTCAGAAAAAAGTTATTTTTTTCTGGAGGGAAGGAATGCCATCCAGAGGGACCTTGACATGCTTGTGAGGTGGGCTGGTGCTGTGCCAACCTTATGAAGTTTAACCATGCCAAGTGTGAGGTCCTACACCGGGGTCAGAGCAATCTGAGGCACAGCTACAGGTTGGGGAGAGAAGAGATTCAGAGCAGCCCTGGGGAGAAGGACTTGGGGGTGTTGGTTGATGAGAAAATGAACATGGGCCGGCTGCCGTGTGCGCTCACAGCCCAGAAAGCCAACCGTATCCTGGGCTGCATCCAAAGGAGCGTGACCAACAGGTCGAAGGAGGTGATCCTGCCCCTCTACTCTGCTCTCGTGAGACCTCACCTGGAGTATTGTGTGCAGTTCTGGCGTCCTCAACATAAAAATGACATGGAACTGTTGGAACAAGTCCAGAGGAGGGCCACGAGGATGATCAGGGGACTGGAGCACCTCCTGTGTGAAGACAGGCTGAGGAAGTTGGGGCTGTTCAGCCTGGAGAAGAGAAGGCTGCGTGGAGACCTCATAGCAGCCTTCCAGTATCCGAAGGGGCCTATAGGGATGCTGGGGATGGACTCTTCATTAGGGATTGTAGTGATAGGACAAGGGGTAATGGGTTAAAACTTAAGTTTAGATTGGATATAAGGAGGAAGTTCTTTACTGTGAGGGTGGTGAGGCACTGGAATGGATTGCCCAGAGAAGTTGTGATTGCTCCATCCCTGGAGGGATGGAGCCAGGCTGGACAGAACCTTGTGTAACGTGGTTTAGTGTAAGGTGTCCCTGCCCATGGCAGGGGGGTTGGAACTTGATGATCTTAAGCTTCTTTCCAACCCTAACTATTCTATGATTCTAAGTGTCATAGGGGTGCTAGAGCTCACTGAAAATCAAGGAAAAGGGGACTTGGACTCCTAAGTCCTGTACATAACTTCTTTTTTGCCACTCAGTTTCAGTCAAAGTCAAAGATGGTTTAAATTTCTGTCTTTGAATTCTTTTCTGACAGTGGCCTATTTTAAGGGAGATGATATTATCCTTCTTTTTCTGCTTTTTCTCTCTAGAACCAAAGATGTCCTTCAGTTTGGTAGATTTCCTGCCTATTGACTGAGCAGTGCAATATTAGCTTATGGAGTTTTCTTTCTTGAGCATATTCTGTAACTACTCTCAGTCATGGGAGCACTTTTACCTGCTATAGTCTACCCTTGGGCTCTACTGAAATGTCAGTCATACACATTCTTACTCTTCTGTCAGCCTAAATTAAGAGATTGCACAGTATCAATAGATTTTTCCAATGGAAAAGTTATATATATTGTCCCATAAAGCAGCATTTTAAAGCTCTTGAAGAGGTAAGTTTCTGTTTCGCTTTGTTTTGTCTGAACACCAAAGACAGTTGAGCAAACCACTTCTGTCTGATTTCAGCCCAGCTCAGCTTCACCAGACAGAGTAGTGACTTCTCTTCCACCCTTTCCCCTGGGGGGTGAAGTCATGGAGCTGTGAATTTATAACCACTCCTGGGACAGCTTGTGATTGAAAGTAATCTACTAGAAAGTTTTTCTAACTTTTGGAGTACTGCTGTTCTCCAGTTCTCACTTTTCAATTTATAAATATGTTTTTATCATGAAACATTATACTCTTTATTGTTTTATTATTACTTTTTCCCATTAATTTCAGTGGGGTCTGGTCAATTTGATGGGATAAGAAAGTTACTAGTTTAAAACAGCCTTTGCTGAAGCAATTAGGACCTTTGCCATGGGTTTTGGTGAGGTCAGAATGTTTTCCTTTTAGCATTTACATACAACTCTTGTGGGAAGTATGGTGTGACATTTTAAAAAGTGTCATCTGTTTAGAAACAGTGTGGCTAATCAAGCATACCAGTAGATTTCTATGGGCCTCCCTGAGTGCTTTTTGAAGTCCAGTTATATGTGAATGGTAGGAAAAAAGCTGTATGGTCTTCACATGGGAGTGGCTTTCAGTGGTGCTTTATACCTTTCAAGTGAAAGAATGGAAGCATGTATTTCACTTTCTGGCTTTCTCAAAATAGAATCACTGGAAAGAATACATGAGATTGTGCTAGAAGAGTTGCAGTAAGTGTTATGATGTCTGAGAGGTCCTGGTTATGAATAGAGGGCAATAGGGCCAGGGGGATATAAGGAGACATGATGCTGATCAGGAACAGGAGGGATTTGAGGTCTAGTTGGAAGCAGACCCTTGGTGAGATGCTGAAAATTGAATACAAGTGAAGGAAGGAGTCAGGACTCGAGCATCTAACACTGACCTACAGACTTGTTGCTAGCTAAATGGAAGCTGCACCAATGAAGCACCCTTTACTTCTTTGCTTTCACGTTTTGATGATTAGGTTTCTGTCATTGTTGCCCTACAAATATGGTAGGCCTGCCAAAAGTACGTGATTGTTCTTTGGGGTTCTTCCGCAGGACTGAATTTGTCAACTCTTTCTCCCCTTTAAGCCAAGCTTATCTTCCCTGCGCCCCCCAGAGTTCTAGGCTTCTTACTGCTTCTCAAGTCTCCCAGGCACCCTTGTCTATCTGAAAACCTCTAGTGGGCACCATTTTCTACATATTTTTAAAGATTTATTCATTCACTAATTTAATGTCTAAATATGAGATATTCGCGGGTTTACTAGCAATACACAATAGCAGTTTAAATAGCAGTAGCAAGCTGCTAGTAAGCAGTGGCAAGCAGTAGCAAGCAGTAGCAAGCAGCACCAAGCAAAGGTGAGGCAGGCTTTTGCCTGCTAAGCATGTTTATATGTTATAAAAAGGCAACTTTTGTTAAAAAGTTTTTCATTTAATCTCTCTTTCACCCAAAAAAGTTCAAATGGATTAACTTTAAAGTTTAAACTTGTAACTCCCCAACATGTTTTGAAAGCAATAGTTAAAACGATATTTATTTCAGAAAATATACTTGCGTCACTTGGATGTGAAGAAGGGTTAAATGATGCTAATTTTTCTTTTAATGTTCTGTATTATACCTCATCGTTGAACTACAAGATCTGGAAAAACCTTGATGTCTTTTCACACTGTCTTGTGTGGGTGGGCAAGAGGCAAATGTTCTTTTCTGAATATTTACGCACACTAGGTGTTTGATTCAAGCATTGCAAGTAATAAAGTACTTGCATAGTACATCTCGAGTAGATAACAAATCTCAAACGTAATAAAATAACTTGCAATTAACTATTGCAGTAACTCTCCAGAGCAAGTCACCATATCATTTGTGCAGTCAGATTAATCTAGGGAAGTGATGTTGCAGGGTTATTGCTTGGGCAGTGATCTTCTCTTCTTTGGAGAATGTTTCAACCCTTGTTCTTGGGAATTTCCTATAAAGTAAACCGTGGATAAGAAGCCCAGCTTGTGCTGCTTGTGTGAACACAAGTTCTTAAAGCCCCTTTGAGAGATGCTGGACACAGGAGTCAGCAGCATACAGGTTATGTGTGGTTGTGTCTAAACAGAGCCTGCAGAGCTTATCTTTGGCAGTGCAAGACTTCAAACTGATATTCGCATTCCTTCTAACCAAAGAAAGGAGTACCAGCATTTGATTTTTTTATTTTCATGCAATATGCCTGATTTGTTGTCCAATGCCACAAGAAACCTGATCTAAAAAGCCTCATATTGCCCTAATTACTAACAAAGAATAATTTTCCACCACCACCCAGTTTAAGTGTTATGTTGTGCTTTACTTAGGCATGTTGAAGTTCAGGAATAAATACTAAAATCTGTTTTATAAGGATTACCTAAATTTGAAATGTTGTTAAGGGAAGGGCATATTTACCAATAGCTATTTCAGAAGTCATTATGGTTTGTATTTTTTTTTCTTTAGAAAAGAATGAAGAATAAATTAATTGACCAAAAATACTCGTATATTGTTGCATGACCTGAGTAACAAATGTTTCCTTCTGTGACTTCAGATACCTGAAGACAGGATAGTTAACTATAAATTAACTATGTTAGCTGAAGGATTAGATTATTTTAAAATAATTTTGAAGTGTTTATTACTTTTCCAAGTAAAATCGCTTTTCCTTTTTAATCTTGGGACCATTTTTCCCTGGCATTTTTTTTTTAGGTATGTGTGACTGACTTTCATAAGTCTCCATGTAAGTATTTCCACTTCTCAGGTGTGCATCTGAATGTTGATATCTAGCTCATTTCCAAGTTGCCATGTTTTAGTATGGAATAGGATGTTTCTGAACAGTCTGCCTCCGAGTCTGTAGTCTATCATGGATGTAGTCTATCTATTCTCTTAAATTTTCAGAGAAATCCAGTATTTCAAAACACAATAGTATATTTAATGTTGGGGGATTTTTTGCTAGTGTTTATAGCTTTATGTTTTTTAATCACTTAATGTTGGGTTTTGTTTTTTTTTATGGGTTAACTGCCTTAATAACAGAGAGGAGTTACATCCAGAAAAATTGAGGCTTTTTGCGTGGTAGCACGTATCTGGTAGATATGGACATCAGATATAATACATGAAAGCATTCATTCAACTATTTACAGGGTCAACTCATGAAAAGAAAACATATCCTGCTTCTGATGACAAATAGTAAACTGAAGACAGTGCATACAATACATGCATACTTCCCAAAAATTTTGTATCATTGGCTCAAAATTAGTTAAACACAAAAATAATGTACAGTGAACATTTTTCCTCCAAAAAGATGTAATTAACTCAAATGTTACCTAACTATAGAGGTTTTAGCTATATTTTTGATTTAAAAAATATGACTAAAATGTTGTACGGGAAAATGTGGTAAATAGTTACAGTTAATTTCTCTTACAGAGCAGATGAATTTCAGGATGACAATATTCCTCATTAGAGTACTTCTTGATTTTTTTTATAACAGTTGTTCAATTTTTAGTCTGACCCTAACTTAGCTGTTTCACTGTTCCTTATGACCCTTTTAATTCAGGATGCAGAATAGAAAACTGCGACTCCTGCTTTAGCAGAGACTTTTGTACCAAATGCAAAACTGGCTTTTACTCGCACAGAGGTCGCTGCTTCCGAGGATGCCCCCCTGGATTCGCAGCTTTGGAAGAGCTTATGGAATGTGTGGGTGAGTCTTCTAGTACAGCAATGCTGCTAAAGCAGCTCTTTTTCCAGTTGGCAAGTTCAAATATGGCACTGTTTGTGAGCTGACATTTCCTATGAAGAAATACTGACTACTGAATTGGGTCTGCATTTTTTTTATCAAAAAGAATGATTTTTTTTTTTTCCCCAGACTTTGAAATACTGCATTAATGGGAATGGCAGTCTGTTCTGCATCAGAAAGTTCTTTCCTTTCAATTGTAAATCACCGTGTATGAGGATTTACAGTTCAGAACTTACAAGATTTTAGGAAGGCCATTTTTTTGCATTAGAACTGTAAATCAGTGATGTACTTGTTGGGTCCTTGCCCTCACAAAACTACCTGCTCATTTGGCCTTTTACCAAGGCCAGAACCCAGGGGCAGGGCAGGTTGCATTCCTGTAATATATTCACTTTCAGTTTCTTTGCAGCCCCCCACCTTTTTCCAAGGGAAGTACAAATATAAACCAAAAAATAAGGGTGTTGGTTTTTTGTTGGTTTTTTTTTTTTTTTCATAGAAATTACTATGTAATTCCAACCAGCATTGGCAGTTCTCACAATATTTCTCAAGTCTCACAATTTGGTGTTTTAGCTTGAAGCCTTGGAATTGTGCCAGAACAGATTGTCTTTCAAGAGTATCCTTTGAATTTCATGATGGCTAAGGTCTGGAAATGTGAACTCTTAAACTTTGCAAATCCTGGTGACAACCAAATGAGATTTATTTATTAAAAAAAAAATTAATAAACTGTGATTTTAGAAGGCTTTTTGAGTATTTGGGAATAACATGATGTCTCTACGTTCAGATTGATAGTCAGATGGTTTTATGCTCAAGTTGACGCTGGCTGAAATGATTTTCAGAGATTTTCTGTAAAAGATTTTAATTTTGTTTGGAAGTTTTTGCCTGTTAACAGTAAAACTTTCAAGTGATGCTTTATAATATTGTATTCCAATAAAAAAAGCCAACCACAAATTAAAAACAAAATAATTGCTTACTTGTGTTTTCTTTTGCTTTATCAGAAGGCTGTGAAGTAGGTCAGTGGAGTGAGTGGGGAACTTGCAGCAGAAATAACAAAACATGTGGATTTAAGTGGGGCCTGGAAACGAGAACAAGACAAATTGTGAAGAAGCCAGCAAAAGACACGATACCATGCCCAACCATTGCAGAATCCAGACGGTGTAAAATGGTCATGAGGCATTGTCCAGGAGGTACGTGTAAGTGTAATCCATGCCACAAAAATCTGTATGAGCTTTCTTTTAATTGAAATCCTATTTCTAACTTGAAAAGATCTATTTCATCCCAGCCAGAGGGGAAATCCTGTCCCTACTCTGCCAGCTAAGGCTGAAAGGCAATACTGCGGCAGCCCTGATTTGTGCAGCAAGGCTCAAGGGAAAGGTTCAACATGATTAGTGTCTTAGTATACTGTGAAACTATTTTTCCCGGTGTGGTACTGAGGCTTTTTCAAAGAGGTGCCCCATGGAAGAAAATAGGTTGCAGTTTGAGCTTCAGCATTGAAACAATAGTGATAGTAGAATAACTAATTGCTTTGCACATGGGAGGAGAGATTATGATTCTAAACCTTTCTGCAAGCAGCACACCCAGTGCTGGTGTGATGGGGATTTAAATTCAGTAAAGCTAGGTACACATGGCATTGTTAGCTGGAATGTTACTTGTTCTGAATATTGTAGATCAGGGCTAAACTTTGATAGATGTGATATTTGCAGAACAGTGATATATATGAAGCTTTTCATCAGAAGACTAGCTTATGATAGTTACCAGAGGTAAATTTACTAAGAGTTAGGAAATTTGTTACCTAGACTATATCAAGATCATTGATCAAATCTCTCCAATTTTTCACTAAGTATCAGGAAAGACATTGAATAAAAATTCAGTGTGAAAGGTTTGAAGTACTCCCTCAAAACTACGGTCTCCAGTAAATCCTAAATATAGCTGTTCTCTCCTGTCCTTCTATAGTGTGGATTCCCTGCCTGTGTTTTTGGAGATAAAAATAGATTTATATAAAACTGCAGGTTTGAACTCCCCACACTACATGCTGATGCTTAATAATGCTTCTGTACCATCAAATAAAACACTGGCCAGAGTATAAACTCTCTTCTCTCACCTTAGAAACTGCTGTGAGAGAGTGTGTTAGTGGTATTTTAAGTACCTAGGCTAAGTCATCTCCTGGTCTGGTTATCTCTGCAGGTGAGGAAGCCATAGGATAGGCATTGTCCTGTTTGTAATGCCTGCTTCATAGTATGTTTTAATTATGATTATACACATGGCTGGTCGAAGATCCCGCTTCTTTATCATATTTAATTTAGATAGCAAGTTGCTGCATTAGACACTCAAAGTGTTTTGTTGCTTATTTAATCAGTGTGAAGCAGCAGGAGACAGAGACACTGGTTACAGGGAAACTCAAATCAAGCAGATCCTACCTCCTAAAATATGGTGTTTTCTTAATGTCAGAGATTTTGTAATTGAACTTTTAAACTGAGGAAATAAGAGGAAAATGTAAGATTAGCACTACTGGGGGACTGAGGAACCATAACCCCTGTAAATGCAAGTTGAGAGGCTGTTAATAAGTGCTTTTTTCCTAATGTTCTCAGTATATAAACTCACACAAATGTGTAGGGTAAGTATTGGATTGTAAAGCTAAAAGAGTTGTAGATTGTGATGGATGAAACCGAGCACAGGCAGTAAGGTTATTTTTGGTAGAACAGGGTCAAACAGTGCTTTTGTCACATGCTTTTCTACTTCTGTACAGTTTACTGTTTCTATTTATGGTCCTCACCACAGAAAAACTTCCGAAACAGATTTTTACAGATTTGCAGAATTGGAGTTAAATTCAGTTTTCCTACTAAGTACTTCAGTTTCATATTTATCAGTGATTTATCAGATGTTACCATCTGGCAATGGGTTTGTGGTACAAATCTAGTGATGAAGAAGAATTCCTTATCACTTTCCCAGTATTTGCGGAGTTGTAGAGGTTCAACCTGGAATGCAAGTGAAAGATGATTTAATTTCTTTCCTACTTAAGCCAGCAACATTAAGAGGATACTCTACTTGATTTCAAATATGTTACTGTGTGATATTTTCTTATTGTCAGTACTAATTGATTTAACTGTTATTACCAGGTGGGAATGTGACATCTGTGTATCTGTTCCTGTTATGTATGTTACCCTGTGGCTTGGGTGTAACATGACTCATACTATGAGAGGCTGGACTTAGAAAAAGATTAGTTTGATTGTTCAGGCTACCTCCTGCCCATGCTGGTCTTTTCCTGATAAGAATTTTTCTTCTCTTTATCTCAAAAAAAAAAAAAAAAAAGAAAACAAGAATTTTTGAAAAAGAGTGGTTATGTTAAAAGCAATGGGGTAATTAGCGGCAGAAATGTTCTGTGGACTGATAAATCTTGTGGTCTTGAAGTTTTCCCATAGATTTATTACAAGTATTCTCTTTTTACCTCTTATTTTACATGGTCGCCATGTTCACCGTAGTAGTTACTCCTCTTTTATTTTTACCTTTGAGAAACTTGCAAATTGCTCTCCTTTTGTATTAAGTAATACATGAATATTACTCTATGGCAAACTCATTAATTCTAGTACAAATGATGATGCTATTTATGAATGCTTATTTAAGACATGAATCAAGAGAGATGAAGATGTCATATATGTATGCATTAATTTCCTGAGCTCAAAAGGGGGAAGGCAGCAGGACAGGTCATAAGGCTATAGTGGGAGGGACTGCTCGCCTTGACTCTGGCATGTAATTGGACGTCATGCTGGTTGACTGGGTTTTTGTGCAGTAATCTTTTATCTAACAGTAAAATGACCCAATCAGATTTTCATTATTAATATTTGGAAATTATGACTAAAAAGACTAAAAGATAAAAGAATTTATAATTAAATACAGAAAGCTAATGAATATGCAGACTGTAGTACATAGAATTTACAATATACAGCCTACTGCATCTTTCTGTTAATTTTGCAGTGGCATTGGACCAAATCTGCCCTTTTTTCACATCAGACAGGTAGAAACTGCATTAAGTGTAGCTCCACTGAGTTCTGGCTCTGCTAGGCTATTGTTATCACCAAGCAGGCTTGCCTCCTTTGCTGTATTTTGCGACCACCAATTAACCTCAGACCAAGAAGACTTGGCTTTAGCATGTCTGAAAATACAGCCGGTAATTTTCAGTTACAAAGCGTAACTCAAAGCTTCTGCAGGAAAAAAGGAAAAACTCTTTCAGCATCAGCAGACAGCTGACAAGAAGTAAGCTCCACCAAAGACACTTTGCACAGTGCAGGTTTGGAAAGTAATAGTAATAGCAATAGTAATAGAGCAAGTATTTCTATGAGTATTTTAGTTGATGGCCATTTTGCACATTTAGTGAAGGAGCTAGCAGTTGGGAGCAGGAAGGGGCAAGATGAATGTAGCTTGGAGTATGGCTTAACACTTGGAGCCTGGCATGCTTATTAGTATGTTTGCTCAGGAAACAAGCTTTTCTCAGCTGCCGAATCTGCTCGTCTGGATTGTCAACATCTGCTTTCGTACAGGGAGTGTTGTGCTGAGAGTATTAAAATGTTTGGGGTTTTGTTTAGCTGATTATATTTAGAAGGGATGGCTGCAGGAGAAAACTAATAGTAAAGGAAATCTAAACCCTATGGAAAGAAATTCCTAATCCTGCCCATTTCAGTAAGAGTGCCTGCAACTAGACTTTGAGTCTAAATTTAAGTCTCTAGTCTAAATTAAGGGGTATAGGCAAGAAATGTAGTTATGTTATCAATATAAAATCAGTTTGTGCCAGCTCCTTAAAAAAGCACAAAGGTTGTAATCTCTGTTTGGTAATAATAATAATAATAATAATAAAAAACCTGAATCATAAGTAGCTCAGGTTGGAAAGGACTGCAGAAGGTCCTTTAGTCCAGCCTCCTGCTCAAATCAGGTCAGCTGTGAGAAAAACAGGATTAACAACTCTCAGATATTAAATATTTTTTCTTTTCTGGACATAGCTCTGTTCCTCTTCATATACTTATTTGTGCATTAAAATATAGTATTTTACTCTTTTTTTCTTAGAAGCAAAAAACCAGGTACTAATAATTCACGTGTGTATATCTTCTTTTTCCTTCCTGTGGCAGGGATAGGCAAATTAGGAATCTGTTGATGGAGGAGCGTTTTTCTCCATATTTTCATATCAAAGCAGTAAAGAAAATTAAGGTGTGTTAATGATGAAATATGAGCAGATATGTTCTTTTCTTAATGTTGATGAATAACAAATCTGTTAGGTCCTCACAACCAAGTATGACATGTTGATATACACACACATAAGACAGAGTTACAGCATGATTCATATAAATGTTATTTTTCATGTAATTTGTGTGTTATTTGGTCATATGAATAGGAAATACGGGATTGAATGAATCTATGAAATCCTGTTCTGAAACTTCCCTTGCACACTAAATGTTTCAACTGAATTAGTGTTGCAGCACTTGGTGTTTTTTTTTTTTTTCGGTTTTAATTCTATTTTATTTTAGTAGGGTTTTTTGTTTTTTTTTGTTTTGTTTGGTTTTGTTTGGTTTGGTTTGGTTTGGTTTCATTTTTTGTTTGTTTTTTAAAAAAAAACACACCTGAGCAAGAAATACCCCTGAATAAATGCAGAAAAGAAAATGCCTACATATATGAGCTAAGAGATGAAATAGCTGTATTACGTATGCATTTGATTCATATTCATTAAAATTAGTTCAACTGTAAATTTAGTGTGACTTTTAAAAAAATGCTGGATTTTTTATATTACATTATTAGAAGTGATCCATTCTTTAGTAATTTTCTAAAGGGAAAACGCAATCCAATTAGACTCTTATCTGAAAAGTATTTAGAAATAGTTTTTATAAACTATATAAACTTGTACATCAGCTTGAGTAGCAGTTAAATTTAAAGCCAAGTGCTATCTGTCAAGGACCAACACTCAGGTTTCCTTTGCAGATTTTACAGGAATGATTGCTCTGTTACTAAACTGCTTGATGCTTTAGATGTCTCTCAAAGCTCTGTGAGCAAGGTATGGCTGTTGACTCGTACTCCTGCATTTTCTGTGTTTGAAATAAGTAGGTTAAATTAAGCAGCTAAGCAATTAAGTGTTCTGAAAAATATCAACACTTATTGAAAGTCATCCTTTCAATATTTTGGTTCTTTAGGTAACTATTCAATATTTGGGTTGGTATTTTCCTTGAAACTGATATGGTGGATCATGCATGGGACTTGAGGCAGCTTGATTTTAAGTCACAATACTGCTACAAAACTTTTTTGCTGTTTCATTCCAGATAAATATAACTGCGGGTTATAATTGTGGTTATTAACATTTGTGGGGTGTGTGAATATGGTGAAATAATACTTATATTGAAACCTTTAACTTAGCTTGGATAGATATAAGTAGCCTAAATTTCCTTGGAGTGCTGTTGTGAAATGTGGTTTTGGTTTGTTTATTTAACTGATGGGTCAGGTTTTCGAAGGATTTTAAGGGGCTTAGTTCTCTTTGACTTCAGGAGAATTTAAAAATGCATGTTCTTTTTAAAACTAGAAATAAAATCTTTCTAAAATGACGTTTAGAATGTACCTTTTATGACATGAGCAAAATACTTTTGTGGAAAAGAGTTGTCATCTGATTTGTTTTAGTTTTCCTTCTTCAGGACAACTGCCCAAAGCACATCTTGTCATGGACTATATATTTCTAAGTGCAAGGGTTTAGCTCTATGTATCTTATCAGGACAATTTAGTCTGTGTAATTTTATGTAGTGTTTTATCATATTGTAGCATGATACATTTTCAACTTATTTAAAAAGATTACCAGGGAATTGCTGCAGTGCAAAAGAGCCAACTGAAGCATGTTTTACCCTTCCTTCTGAATATAAATTATCCTTCAATCCTCCTTTTTAGTTAAAGTAACAGGAAATATTTTCTTGGGAAGTCTTTCACACAGTTTTTCCAAGCATTAAAAGGTTGTACGCACAATATATTTATTGCCATTATTATATCTTAGGCCAGATAAGTACTTTCAACATATGTTTTTTCTTAAGTATATTGTATTTGAGAAGTATCATGAGTATCATGTGAGGCAGTATCTCTTATGGGAGTAATCTTTTTTAATGAATAACCAAGTGTACCAGTGTGTAAATCCTCATAAATGACCAGTGTGAGTTATAACCGTCCCATGGCAATTATGCAGTTCAGGGTTGTTTAAAAATGCTGAAGGAGAGCCAGCTGCTAATCCACAAGGACATACAAATACCGAAGAGTGCTGTAGCTGATCCAAGTGCATAAATTGAATTTGTCCATAAAAGTGACTTGACAAATTTTATTGTGATACCCTTATGAAGTTACTCCTATTGGTTTTTGTCTTTTGTTCATTCTGTAACTACAATTCACCTGAAGGAGGAAAAGCCGCATATATACTCATTTCTGCTTCTCAACTGGGGAGTTATTTTTGTTACATTGTAGTCAGATGTTTCAGTCACAGCAGAGAAATCGGCAAACACTCTCCTACCTGAGATTGTTTTCTTCCCTGGGGATCAATCAGTAAGGCACATTTCTACGGATATCCTCTCCCATACCACAGGCCTAGGAAATGGCAGGTCTGCAGACCCATCTGCTACAGATACGGCATCATCAGCCTTGCTCATTTTTAAGGATTCACTAAGGCTTTCCTTGCACAGAAATCTCTTTTTAAAGTAATAAACCTATTAGGCTATACAGACATTATTTGTTTCTACAACGTTAATACAAGGGCCACATCCTGACATACTCCTGGCAGAATTTTTGGTTGGGTTCTTCTGATACTCCTCAGCTTTTTTACTGTTCATCTTTCCAGCAGAACATGAACCAACAATGGCAGGGTTTGGATTTTAGAAGTTACTCTGTGAATAATGGCGACTGTGACTGAAGTAGAAAGACTTTGCTGTACTATAATATTTAGAAAATATGCAATATTTTTATGCAATACTTAGATTCTGTCCCCCTCATCACACTTAAGGATACTGTAAGAAAATGTGTATGACCCTGAATGTTGGGCCTTGCTCTGCCGCACCGGCTTGGTGATTTCTAACCAACCGTGACAGAAATTAGATTATTTGGATGCACATGTGATAGCCATCAGTTAAATTATCAGTTTAAGTAGATAAAGTTTTTCAGACATAACTGGGTGCATACTCCTTGCACAGTACCAATGAAAGTAAATTATCTAAGTCTGCGCCACCCTCTAAATACAGCTGCTTGGTTGTTAAGCTAGGAACTCATTAGACTGCTGTAACTTGATTGATTGTAATGAACTGTCCAAACCCTCTATAATAGCTTTCTGCTGGAGCATCATTTTGAATGCTCTGCAGCCTGCTTGCTAGATACTGTAGCAAGTACTGGCAATCTAAGGTAGCCTAAGAGAGGAGCCTCATGGATTTGGGCTGAATTCAGCAGAGATAGTTTGCCACTGCCGGAGGGTGCAAGTCTGGAGAGTAAAGAATCCAGCGAAGAGGAGAAGAGGGGAAAGAATCTGAGAAATAGACAGTTATGGCTTCTTCCTGTTGTTTGGCTCTTTGGACAGAAAAAACATATATAGAGATATTTGGGTCCCAATTAATGGCTTTGTTAGCAGACTACAAAAGGTAAAGCTGCTTCACTGACTGGTTTCTAGTGTCCTTTAAAATCTGACACTGAACAGACGTGTCTGGTGCTGCACAAGGTAGCTCATTGTCAGCATAATGGTGTGCACAAGTTAGTTACCCCTGCTGAGAGACAGGATTTATTAGATCTGGCTCAGTCCTGTGCAGGCCATGAGGTATTATGTTTGTGATAAAGAACTGTGGTTTGCTGTATGGATGCATAGTTCATGAGCGCTAACCTGGGGGACTTATTCTCTTGTGGGGTTTATTCCTGTTAAATAACTGCCACAATGCTCAGAGAAATTCTGGACAGGGACACTGCTCAATTCATAAATGCCACAGTTTCCAGTACTCTGCTGTAGACCAGATTTAATTTAATTAGTTTTCACCAGCTGGCTACAAGAGTCAAGGGGGAATGCCAAGGGAATAGGTGAAGGAGCAATCCCCCCAGCTGCTCTCACTTCGAGTTGCTGCCAGTGTTAGAACTAGGGTGGAGTCAACTGCACACTCATAGAGAGTTTCTAGACATATCTGTATCTTTACATGTCATGAGCAGCACAGGAAGAGGGGAATGGGGGAAAAGATCTGCTTCTTTTTGTTATTGTTGCTTGGTTTTGACTGTTTATGTGGTATTTTATTAGAGCTTTCTGAAATAATTTGAGATAATCTTACCTCAGATTGGAAAGCTTGGTCTGATTCCCATCGTTCTTTTTGCTTTGCACCTCAGAAGTGAATGAAAAGAACTTACTCTTGAACAGTTTGAATATCAGGTTCATTTTGAAGAAATTCAAACATGACTGCAGATAATGTTTGGAAAAGGAGTGAGAACATGAGCAGAGAGTAAGACCAATAGAAAGCAGGAACTGCTCATGTTGAACAGGGCAGTCTTTCTGTGCATTGATTTTTATATGGTGTTATAGCCTCACATTAAAAACGGGCAGATTTGATAATGTTCTGGGCACTGTCTTAATAATGAATTAGCCTAAAATGAGTAGTAACATGTAAAATAGGAATGCGATACCACAGAGATAATCAAGTACCTGTGTCAGTCTGACATTCTGCACCAAATGATCAAGCATAAAAGCAGTATTAATTAGGACAGACACAGTACTGCACCAATGTTTGGGTCCCAAATAGGCTCCTTTTATGCAATAAATCTTCATCCTGAAGAGTATTTATTTTGTGTTTCTAAGCTGGCACAGCTTTAATTCTGAAGAGGCCCCAAAAATCTGATGTAAAGTGTCTTCCACTGAATTAGAATCCTCTATCATCTTTGCCATTTAATTTGAGAGTTTATCAGTGTGTTTCTTCATAGAGTGTCAATAAGGAAGAAGGCTATTTGAGTTCAAATAAAGGCTGAGTTTATACAGCTTTGCATATCACCTCCAAGTTTGATACTTTAATCTTGTGTCATGCACATCTATTTAGTGCGTATAAATACTGCAGGCACAGTAGCAAATTGTTAGCTCATCTTTTAAGACTATTATTTTGAGATATTTCTTGTAGAACCTAATTAGCTTAGCTGTTCATATATTTGTGCATTTTAAGCCTTTTTATTCAAATTCTAATTTATTGGTTTCCCATGAGCATTCCTTGGCATTCTTAGCTAATCAGACACTTAAGTCTGATGATGTCTGTGAACCTTGTATCAAGTCAAACTGCTGGAGAGCAGAGAATCATGCAGGTATCTAGCTGCAAAGAGCCACTGCAGTAGGACACCAATGAGAGCAGGTGCTTTACGGCATGTCGGATTTGTTAAGAACTTTGTTTAGGAAGTTCAAACAAGGGGCATGACTTTTAAGCACCCATGTTTGAATTGCACTGTAACGTTTCATAAAAATCACAGGTATTTCGAATGGCATTAATATCCCATGATAACACCATGGCACACATTAGAGTGAGCTCCTGGTGAAAATGACAGCCAGCTGTTAAATCCTGTTTCTCTGACAGATACGAATGTGAACTTCTCTGTCAGATACAAATGTGAACATCTTGAATGGATTGCCAACTCTTCCTATACAAAGATTTCAGCACAGTAGAAAGAGTACTGTAAAAACTGTCAAATGTTTTTTTCTCAATTCATTGCTTTTAAAGTTGCACAATGAAACCTTAGCTGTTGACTAGATGCAAGTGCCAAGCAGCTTTGATCAGGTGGAGTGTAGCTGTCTTGAAGCTAGATTGCATTTAGCTTTAATGTTACAGTATCTTCAATACTGAAAAAGTGCCACATTTATCTGGTAGTTGAAATGACAAATGCCTAAATGATTCCTAAAACGAAGATAGGTAAAAACTACTACAGGGATGGTTAAATTCCAGCTTTGTGCTTTTGCTCTGAATTTATGGATCAGATTATTTTTTTACCTCCTGATTTACTGTCTGTTCCTCATAACATCTAAACTAGAAGAAACGA